ATGCAGTCCATTTCCTGTCGTGATAGTGATCTTCAACGCGTGTACAAGTACATATAGTTTTTACATAACTTTCCCGCTGTACATATAACCTGTATCAACTTTACATCTGTCAAAACATATGACCACTATCCTGTCCCACTTTGTCAACATTGTCACCTTTTCAGTTAGAACTGGTAACAGCTGACTGAGACATTGACAGTGTATCCTCCTACGGTAATAAACCTGGCCAGGTAAGGACACAACTCTGTGTAAATATTCGTCCATGTACATGTAAGTAATCTGTTAGTGCGTTCATAAATTCTGGAAATAACTGGTATCCAAACCGCAAGTCAATCACTCTCTGTAACATTTGTTCGAAATTTGTAGTTAGATATTTTAGAACCGATTTCTTCTCCTTTCTTTATATTTATTCTCTGTTTACTACCTTAAATATTGCGAAGATGTGAAGCACTTTCACGTAAATAAACAAAGAAATTACCCTGGAAAATCCCAAAATAGATCACAGTCACATGTAGCACAGTAATGCCAATATGGCGTTGAACTCATGGCGTCACAGGTTTGGAGCCCGAAAACGAGGTCAACGCCTCTCAGCCAAAGGTGTGTTTTTCAGAAAAGTCTCAATTTCTCAGTAACGGAACATTCCACGGCATTCGCGTTTTCGGCAATGTGTATTTCATATGCACAACTATTTTTTAAGCTCAACATAGCTGGCCTCTCAGGGTACACTTTATTTTCATTTCATCCGAGAAACCAGAAGCAATCTAATTTTATCGGAAATTTCTTTGGTGACTCTACTTGCATTCTTTGTTCATGTTGCTCAAATTTCTGTTTGGATTTGTTTTGTTTTTCTACTCGTGTCCGCATGGATTTGGGCAATCCTTAACTTGTGGGCAGGGATTTATGCCAGGCCTATATAAATCTGTCGTTAGTGAAGCGATTTTTTCTCCTTTGATCGTTTGAGTCGATGATTTACGGTCGAACTCATTCTTATTCAGTTGTATCATACCTCAAATATGCAACCCTATCAACGCACGCCTCGAGATAAGTAATTGTCTAGGTATATCTCCTTTCTCTATGGGAGCAGATACCATTCATCAAATATTGATTCACAGCATACAAGCGTGAAGGTAGTGTAGCGAACACGGACAACAGTCTGAGATCAAGGTAGACGTGGTCAGTGATGTCCGAATACACCTGTAACAACGAAAGTCAATCAGATTACAGGCTTTTTTCCAGGGGTTCTGTGGGGCCGAATACTGGTCAAATTCCCAAATGAATTGATTTCAAAGCATAGCCAATTCCCAAAATATAAAACTTACGCCTAAAGATATCCTACCTACCCTATTGATAATAAGACCTGGCGGAAGAACTGGAAAGGAAATATTGTGACTAATTATGGACGGGTCGATTTGTTAAGGAGGGCGATGTTCTATCTAGGAATGACGAAGAAACTTCATATCAAGAAAAAGGTTGTGCCTAAGAATGTAGTTATTTCAACAAGAAAATGTTTCTATGCCCACAGATCGAAAGATCTGGGGCAAATTGTTTCTGTGCTGTCTATTTGTCTGTCTGCTTGTCTGTCTGTTTGTCTGTTGTCAGCTTTAACTTTGCACATAACTATTGCACCGTAAGAGGTAGGGCTCCCATATTTGGCATGTATGTACCTTGTGACCGGACTTTTACGTTGGTTCCAAAACTTTTGACCACGTGACTTTGACCGTGACCTTTGACCTATATTTGGCCATAACAATTGCACCATAAGAGGTAGGGCTTGCAGACTCAAGTTTTAGGTAATGTTGATTTGTAATGAAGTCAAACAAATCATTACCACAATGAGGACATGTGTGTTTCACAAAGAGTGCATGCAATTAGAACATGCCTTACACAGTACATTTTTAATGACCCACTTCAGAATTTTGTTGCAATCGAGAGCATTGTTTCATAAACACATTTTGTTGGGTTTTTTTCGAAGAGAAAATGATCGTGTCTATTAATAATGATTGGAGTCAAGGAGGGAATATTTTTGCAAAGAAACTTTATTAAGTCTCGTAACCACATTAAGCTATAAGATATAAATGGATTCGTGTCTGGTAAATTTTTGTTAGTTTACTATGTATATACTCGGAATATAAAAAAAAACGGAAATAGTGTAGTATAAATATAAAGCCCTGTAGTTGGTAGTTGTTTTCACTAAAATACATAACAGCCATAAAGAGTCGGGTTTGTTCGTATAATGTATCACCGATAGGTCAATAGGACCAGCCGGTAGGGCTGTATATCATGGTCGTATTTATTCACGACAGGACAACAATAAAGTATGGCGATCTGCTAATAATCTGTACAGTCCACTTCAGTCTGAAGTGTTAACAAACGTGACCGGAGAAGGTCATCGACACAAAGGCATGAGAGGTGTGTAATGATCACAGGGACATGAGAGGTAGTGTAATGATCAAAGGGACATGAGAGGTGTGTAATGATCACAGGGACATGAGAGGTGTGTAATGATCACAGGGACATGAGAGGTAGTGTAATGAGAATAGGGACATGAGAGGTGTGTAATGATCACAGGGACATGAGAGGTGTGTAATGATCACAGGGACGTGAGAGGTATGTAATGATCACAGTGACATGAGAGGTGTGTAATGATCACAGGGACATGAGAGGTGTGTAATGATCACAGTGACATGAGAGGTGTGTAATGATCACAGGGACATGAGAGGTGGTGTAATGATCACAGGGACATGAGAGGTGTGTAATGATCACAGGGACGTGAGAGGTATGTAATGATCACAGTGACATGAGAGGTGTGTAATGATCACAGGGACATGAGAGGTGTGTAATGATCACAGGGACATGAGAGGTGTGTAATGATCACAGTGACATGAGAGGTGTGTAATGATCACAGGGACATGAGAGGTGTGTAATGATCACAGGGACATGAGAGGTGGTGTAATGATCACAGGGACATGAGAGGTGGTGTAATGATCACAGGGACATGAGAGGTGGTGTAATGATCACAGGGACATGAGAGGTGGTGTAATGATCACAGGGACATGAGAGGTGTGTAATGATCACAGGGACATGAGAGGTGGTGTAATGATCACAGGGACATGAGAGGTGTGTAATGATCACAGGGACATGAGAGGTGGTGTAATGATCACATGGACATGAGAGGTGGTGTAATAGTCACAAGAACATGCGAGGTGGTGTAATGATCACAGGGACATGAGAGGTGTGTAATGATCACAGGGACATGAGAGGTGTGTAATGATCACAGGGACATGAGAGGTGGTGTAATGATCACAGGGACATGAGAGGTGGTGTAATGATCACAGGGACATGAGAGGTGGTGTAATGATCACAGGGACATGAGAGGTGGTGTAATGATCACAGGGACATGAGAGGTGTGTAATGATCACAGGGACATGAGAGGTGGTGTAATGATCACAGGGACATGAGAGGTGTGTAATGATCACAGGGACATGAGAGGTGGTGTAATGATCACATGGACATGAGAGGTGGTGTAATAGTCACAAGAACATGCGAGGTGGTGTAATGATCACAGGGACATGAGAGGTGTGTAATGATCACAGGGACATGAGAGGTGTGTAATGATCACAGGGACATGAGAGGTGTGTATTGATCACAGGGACATGAGAGGTGGTGTAATGATCACAGGGACATGAGAGGTGGTGTAATAGTCACAAGAACATGCGAGGTATGTCCTGGTGTGCATTTTTAGTATTTTTCAAGATTGCATTGCATATCAGAGACTAATTAACACATCTTAAATGACGTCATGTACAGGCTACGGTGTCATTGGTTTAGCCTGATAACTTGTAGTAAGAATTCCGATCCTTAATTCAAGTCCCTGTGCTCATATTGAGAGATCTTCGTAATGTACATGTGCGATACTGCGGTCGTGAATTTTAGCAGAAATGGAACCTGAAGGATTGTTGCTTCCGTTAACTGAAAAATGACGCCTTGCGAAGAATGTGTACAAATTTGTTGCCGTCATGGTTGGTTTACGGTCGTATAAAATATATAGATATGGGCCGTCATGGAGAGGCTAGGGTCAACCACATGTCCCTTATACGGGTCTGGTGTTATCAAAGCCCAGAGTTTGAGAACAGGATAGCCCTCCCAGTCGTCCGCACACGTTTGCTTCTGCTATTTAGGGCGCATTAAACAAATACCGCTGACCCCATTATTCCAGACAATTTATGCTTCATCTGATGTGTGGAAATCAGAATTTGTGCTTTCCGTTAAAATACCGATTTCAAGAGGTTTTGTTTCTGCAAACAAATCTGTCCATTTTTTATGGTTGGTTTGATTTTTATAACAAAAATTCGTATGTCCGACCTACATTAGGTATGAACTCTTTTTTCCGGATGTGAAATTGTGTACAGTTATATTGTTCAACAAAACCATTCCGGACACTGAGTCCTGTAAATTATTTGATATGTTTCATAGTTGTCAACATGATCTGGTGAATCGAACAGACCGAGGTAATTAGGGAGACGACTTAGGGCCGCGATCGTTCACACCGATTTACTTCCGGAAGACTTCATTAGTATGGAATTGACCGAACCCGCGTTCGTGTTGTAAATTGTCATTTACCACGTATTTGCATAATAATGATTATATTTGCATACAATTATATCTTTACACATACACACATTTATCTGTTTACATAGTCTACTACTGCTACTAATAGATTACACATGTATTTTCGCAACCTAGTCCACTACTGCTACTAATAGTTTACACATGTATTTTCGCAACCTTTAGACAGTTTCATGTTGATAATCGCTTGTGAATAAAATGAAATGGTGTTTGACCGATGTTCTATAAAAATCTTCGTGGAAATGAAGCAAATAACAGGTAGTTGATTAGATTATGTAACGGGGGTGCTTACAAATTTTATTAATACTGTATATTTACAATATTAATTTTTTGACATTCATAGATAACGAAACTTATGTTACTGTCTATTTCAGATTTTTCTTGGAAGTCATGGCGAAACGGATGACGGGATATGGTCTAACTGCAGACATACATAGAAAGGTATAAACCTGTTAGAGTTACTTCCCTTTAGTAAAATGCCTCGGGCACAGACATTTTTCTTTAAAAGCAATTGATATTTCATTAGTTAATGCCAGATGATTGAATGGCATGTATAAGGGCTGATGTACCCCAAAAATATGTTCCAGTCTCGTGAACACGTGCTTTGTATACGCCTTTTGCGGTGTTTTATTTTAGTGTTTTACTGTTAGGTTGGCGAAAATTGTTTCATGTTTCGTGACAATTATTATTGTCCATGATGGTTTTTATAAACCTTGTCATTCGGAGATTGACTTCCTGTTTTTAAGTTTTTATTAGTTTTTCTGTATACAACCTGAATTTTCAAAAATCTGATCTATGTTCTCATATGTTTACTATTCCAAAACCAAATCTTTCATAATAACTATATTTTTTTTAAAAATATAATATAATAACTATATTTTAATCTGTCTGTTCTGTACCAATCGCCTGTTAATCTGTAGCGGAAAGAACAATACAACAATGAGATTTACAGAGAGCAGGAGGCAAGACTTTGGATAGAAGATGTCACTGGAGTTAAACTGGTATGTAATTCTATCGACAAATCACAGTCAATTTCAAAGTTTTACTACTCACCTGCAGTCTCTACAACCACGCTTTGATTCAAAGTTCGTTAACCTCGCTCTTTGCCACGATTCCTTGGGCAAACTCCTTCAATATATTGACAACCTTTTCAATAAGGTTAACTTAAAATATGGATATAATAGTTAACTACAGATATTGCTGTACCTACAGAGTATTATCACTAGTTAACTACAGATATTGCTGTACCTACAGAGTATTATCACTAGTTAACTACAGATATTGCTGTACCTACAAAGTATTATCACTAGTTAACTACAGATATTGCTGTACCTACAGAGTATTATCACTAGTTAACTACAAATATTGCTGTACCTACAGAGTATTATCACTAGTTAACTACAGATATTGCTGTACCTACAGAGTATTATCACTAGTTAACTACAGATATTGCTGTACCTACAGAGTATTATCACTAGTTAACTACAGATATTGCTGTACCTACAGAGTATTATCACTAGTTAACTACAGATATTGCTGTACCTACAGAGTATTATCACTAGTTAACTACAGATATTGCTGTACCTACTGAGTATTATCACTAGTTAACTACAGATATTGCTGTACCTACTGAGTATTATCACTAGTTAACTACAGATATTGCTGTACCTACAGAGTATTATCACTAGTTAACTACAGATATTGCTGTACCTACAGAGTAGTATCACTAGTTAACTACAAATATTGCTGTACCTACAGAGTATTATCACTAGTTAACTACAGATATTGCTGTACCTACAGAGTATTATCACTAGTTAACTACAGATATTGCTGATATAGTTAACTACAGATATTGCTGTACCTACAGTTAACTACAGTATTATCACTAGTTAACTACAGATATTGCTGTACCTACAGAGTATTATCACTAGTTAACTACAGATATTGCTGTACCTACAGAGTATTATCACTAGTTAACTACAGATATTGCTGTACCTACAGAGTATTATCACTATTGCTGTACCTACAGAGTATTATCACTAGTTAACTACAGATATTGCTGTACCTACAGAGTATTATCACTAGTTAACTACAGATATTGCTGTACCTACAGCGTATTATCACTAGTTAACTACAGATATTGCTGTACCTACAGAGTATTATCACTAGTTAACTACAGATATTGCTGTACCTACAGAGTATTATCACTAGTTAACTACAGATATTGCTGTACCTACATAGTATTATTACTAGTTAACTACAGATATTGCTGTACCTACAGAGTATTATTACTAGTTAACTACAGATATTGCTGTACCTACAGAGTATTATCACTAGTTAACTACAGATATTGCTGTACCTACAGAGTATAATTACTAGTTAACTACAGATATTGCTGTACCTACAGAGTATAATTACTAGTTAACTACAGATATTGCTGTACCTACAGAGTATTATCACTAGTTAACTACAGATATTGCTGTACCTACAGAGTATTATCACTAGTTAACTACAGATATTGCTGTACCTACAGAGTATTATCACTAGTTAACTACAGATATTGCTGTACCTACAGAGTATAATTACTAGTTAACTACAGATATTGCTGTACCTACAGAGTATTATCACTAGTTAACTACAGATATTGCTGTACCTACTGAGTATTATCACTAGTTAACTACAGATATTGCTGTACCTACTGAGTATTATCACTAGTTAACTACAGATATTGCTGTACCTACAGAGTATTATCACTAGTTAACTACAGATATTGCTGTACCTACAGAGTATTATCACTAGTTAACTACAGATATTGCTGTACCTACAGAGTATTATCACTAGTTCATGTACAGATATTGCTGTACCTACAGAGTATAATTACTAGTTAACTACAGATATTGCTGTACCTACAGAGTATTATCACTAGTTAACTACAGATATTGCTGTACCTACAGAGTATTATCACTAGTTAACTACAGATATTGCTGTACCTACAGAGTATTATCACTAGTTAACTACAGATATTGCTGTACCTACATAGTATTATCACTAGTTAACTACAGATATTGCTGTACCTACAGAGTATTATCACTAGTTAACTACAGATATTGCTGTACCTACAGAGTATTATCACTAGTTAACTACCGATATTGCTGTACCTATAAAGGACCGCTCTACTTTGCGCCGATGGTTCATTCTATTACATGATAAGGTATTTCGGTAGAATTGTTAGGTGCAGTTTCATGCTCCAATGTCCAACTTTCGGGATTGCAAGTTGAAGGCTTGACGTTCTGCTGAAATTATAAGGTGTATTAAAATAATGAAATATATTATTCATTTAACTGAAGCAACTTTCAATCAAGATTTCGAGATTTGTTTTTATCAATTCTCAATTACCTCCATCGCCTTCAAGCCTTCTGACAAGTCACAACAAGACGAAACATCTAATTCATTATTTGAATTTACTGTCCCGATTCTAAATTTGTATTGAAATATGCAGTTTTCTTTTGTAGTGTCTTTTGTACAATGATCCAAGTTATGTTATCTTAATTGGTGAAATCTTCTCTCCTTGTATGTATGTGTTTTTAGTTCTTGTAAGGGCGCAAAACCCCAGACAGTCTAATGTTGAGGTGTACCGCTTTACATTTCAGGGTGAAGAAAGGAACACGCCCCTCACGTGGGACGGATTACACAACCATCTCAAAGACGGAACTGTCCTTTGCAAGTAGGTGACATACATTGTTTAAAGGAACCGTCTACCAGACTGTACAAAAATGCCAAGTTTTAGGTTTGCAAATGCATTGCCAGAAAGCTTTCAAATCTTTAAGAACAACATGGTAGAATGCTTTCAATTTTGAAACATTTACAATTTGAAAACAGACTGTCAGAATGTTTTTTGTTTGTGAACACCAGAAGCAGATCAAAGTGAAAAATGTGACAGGAATATGCCAACAGCAAAACATCATGTTCCTTACATTGAACATCAAGTAGTTTAGTTAAATAACCAATAAATCAGACAGTTCTATATGATTGGTCATTCTGAAATGATGGAAATGTTACACGCTTTTTCATTGGATAGTTTTCATGATTTAATCCCCAATAGACGCTAGCCCAAACATGGCGACCATCTGTCCATTTGTTGTAGAGGTTCGGCATTGGAGTAATTTACTGTAACGACACAATCAGATGTGTCATCGAAATGTGAAGTGAAGAGAAATAAGATGACTTCATCTCATGTTAAAACCAAAATCCATTATCTAATTTCCATACATAAAAACATACGGCCATACATTGTATTTGGTGTAACTATGAATCTGACTAAGACTTGACCAAATTGTTCGCCACATTTTTCGCTTACACAATTAATATGATATTATGTATCACATTTTTAAATATATAGTAAAAGGTTGTCTACCAAGACGCATGTTAAGGGATGTGTGTGTGTGTGTGTGTGTGTGTGTGTGTGTGTGTGTGTGTATTTCTGGTTTCATTGCGTCCACAAAGTAAAATGAGAAATTAAGATATGTAACAATTTCAATAAATGTGCGATTTTTTTATTATAGATTAATTAACACATTGTCACCTGGTTCTGTGGGGAAGATTAATACTTCACCTATCAACTTTCATATGATTGAGAACATCGGCAAATTCCTGTCCGCTATTGAGAAATACGGAGTAGCCAAAGAGGACCAGTTCAACACACCTGATCTCTTCGAGAATGTCAACATGCTGGCCGTGGTCAATACCCTTCACGCGCTGGGCAGGGCGGTACGTCACATCCACATATATGTTGTAATAAACATTACGGTATATTGAAAATATTTTGTTTTTGTTGTGTTCCGAATTGGTTTAAGGTTCTATAAAACCTGTAGACACCAGATGACTGTTAACTTTAAATGGTAAATCAATTGTTACAGGCACAGAAAAAAAACTACCAAGGATCTGTCCTTGGTCCTAAGGAGGCCGACTACAACCCACGTAACTTTGATGAGGAAGTCCTGAACAAAGGCCAGACGGTGATCGGGCTACAGGCCGGCTCCAACAAGGGAGCTTCCCAAAGCGGCATGAGCTTTGGACGAACACGCAGTATCAACGAACCCTATGTGTCCAGCTGAAGCCGTTTTCCCTAGGAATTAAAAATTGTGTAGGTCATACTTAGTATATGAAGTCATACCGCTTTAGTTTAGGTGGTTAGAACCATTCTCTACTTAATATCTTAATGTTCCGGCTCCAGTCATTCATAGTCTCCGATATTTGCTGGCGAAACATCATTAAGAGGTTCTGATGCTGTCTAGATCTGAATTTGATATTGTGTATTATTAAAGAAATCAAGTAAGGCAACATCAGTGAATTTTTGTTTTTGTGTCAGTTTGTTTATTAAATATAACCAGTTGTAGATATTTGCCACACTGAAAATAATTTTACAAATCATTTTACAACTAATTCATATTTAGTGAACATCTTAAAAAATGTATCAAAATGAATTGCTAGCAGTAAGGATTTATTGTTAGAGCTATTGTATATGGATGTTATAGAGTGTTTCGCTACTTAAACTTTGAACACCCAATATTAGCAAGAGTACATGTTGATGTAGCGTAAATTCTTTGTGATTCATTGACCTAAAACTTAAGTTTTTATCTGGATGTTTCAAAGGACAGATATGTATAATCATCATAGTATGAGGCTGACTTATCTAGAACATTCAACATAAACAAGAATTTCTGATCCCTGATTATGGCTGGCTCGGCCAACATGTCCTGTTGTGCATGGCTCTTCCTGCAAACATTTGTCTGATTATTCTTCATCAGTAAGGATTGCGAAGTGCTGTTTTGGAACGTACTGTACCAGCTGTGTAAATCGTGTATGCTCAATGTACCTTAAAATTGATGTCGATTTTTTTTTTTTCGATTCCACATTATTTCTGTATAATTCTACATTTTAAATTTGTTTACATTATACCTGAAAGTCCTACCAGATTAAGTAGAACTTGTACATCTTGTTCAGGGTTTCAATTTTACAGTCAATTTTAAAAACTTTTTTCTCCTTTCTGAACACTACTTTTTTCGAATCTAAGTTAAGTGTTGTAAATCGTTTCTATGGCTACAGAATATATTGTTGATCTGAAAAAGGCGAAGTTAGTTGGTTGTGAAATGTTACATGTTTGTTATGGTATACAAGGAAGGCCATCCTTGTGAAGTTAATAGAACTGAAAGGTAGGTCTACACTGCTAGATGTTTTCTACTAAGGAATCTATTTTCCGATACTGGGTAATTTCGTGTATTTGCAGATGTTTGCGTGCCTTAATACAAAATGTCATCAGCATTAACAGTGATGTATGAATGAAAACAAAGATGGGGCCAAAACGTGTTTATTTGCTGTAATTCTATTTTGGATATGTAGTTTTTTCCTTTTTCCTCTTCATTATTTTTTTTTCTTTTAATCCATGTTTTTGAGAATTCGTTCAATCTTAGTCATTATCATTTTCCGTTTGATGAACATCATTGTTTGTAAAACTCATTTTTCAAGATCAATCATTATCTAGTCTAGCCTTATATATATATCAACGCACATTCTTATCACAAACGCCTTGTATTATTCTTTAAGCTGGCAGTTTTGTCTAATTATCTTTCCCGCTAACTTAATATTGTATCATTAATGAAAAATGTTTTAATCGTTATGGTAATATTTTATTTTTACAATTATTTTAGATAAGATTGTAAAATAATTAACAAATATCAATTAAAATGTTTGTTTACTAAATAATAACACTACTTAATTGTGTTACTACATAATACCCACTAGATAATAACACTACACGTGAAATTGATAACTATGCAGATCTTAAGACGAGTAGAAATTTCAGAAGTGAAATGGAACCAATTTAGCCTCTGATGAGATCTGACCAATGTTTGTTTTGTGGACACATTTTTACGTTGTCATTTTGACTCATAAAGAGTAATAAGTATATTAGTCTTTGATAACCATATACATTTTATTGACTTTTGTTCCTGTTGTATTTTATATTGTAAACGCATTTTATACGGGAAATATATACATTAATTAGTACTGAACATAACAAATGCCTCGGACGGCCTTGTTATTATCAGTTTTTATCAAAGTGCTGCTTACAATTTTGTGGTAATGTGAAACAAGATTCCTTTATATATTTTCAGAAATTAGGATAACACGGCGTTTTCAATTTTGTACCTACAGTCCAGACATTCACCCTAGTATTATCCAGGCCGAATATTCTACCTCATGATCCTAAGACAATGTCGGACAAACAAAGAACAGTCGAAATAAACACAAACACTGATATAAATAAATTTGGGTCTTTGTTTCTGTTTTTTTTTTTTTTTTTTGGGGGGGGGGGTCATTTATAAAATTGACTTAAAACCTTCATTCCCTTACTTAATATTTTGAGTTGAAAGTCATTTCACCACCTTCGCGTGAATTATTTATTCAAGAAAATGGTTTCAGATTAAAGCTTAAAATTGTATATAAAAATAAAAGCAGATGTATTGTCATGTTGTGCTTTAAACGTGATCTATTGTGTACCTATATATCATTGTATTTTGTCTGGTGTATTTACACGTGAAATATACTTGCTATTGATGTACGAATTGGCAATGCAATTTTTGTACATAATATAAAATTCTAAAATGGATTTTTTGTTATAAAACTGCACGGAAAACGTAGTCATGAGCAATTAGATTAATGAGATCATGAAAGCCAAAATACCACCAACTTTCCACTGCTAGCTTAGCTCTTCATGTATTGAACAACGTTAACTGTTAAGAAGATACATTTCGGTAAATAATGAAGACAAAGTTTTCTTCATCACCAGAATATTGTTTCAAAATAAATTTGAGACACTACTTCTTACAAATACACTATATTCTTACTTTTTGTGTTCGCATTCGGTACTAGGCACAATGTCTCGCAATCAGCTTTGATGTGAAATCGATAATAAATACCTTGGAGGTGAAAAGAAATCGTGGCGAGTGCTACGTTCGCTGTGTAACGTATTCAACATGTGTGTTTATGATATTGAGAGAGTACATTCCATTATGTAACATAAGCTGTATAACGTATGCACTGGGGTAATGGTCGGCGTTGTATAAAGCATGAGTTTTAAAATATACATGTGCGTTGAGACCATTATCTATTATATAATAAACACGTAAATAACATGTTCAGAATTTGTTCTTTTTCAATGTCATTTACCCTTTCACAGCATACAATAATATACGCTATGTTACACACTATACAGACATCTGTAAATAGTGAAAACGAGATAAAATCCGAAAGACAACTATTTCATATGTCCCCTTGGTCTCTTGTAACGGTAAATCAAAATGGCCGACATGCAGTCATTCTTGGATTGTAACTGTTGTGGTTTGTTCTGGTCATTTCATGAAAATACTGACATGGATCATTCTAAAAATATATTCGTATATGATTCCCTTGGTCCATGGCTTTGCTTGTCCGTATTAGGACTAGTTGTAAAAAAATGGTTTGTAGTAAACCAATTTATGGTGGAAGATTGAGGTCATTTCGCTTTGTCACGTTTGCCACAAAAGTACCCCGCCGATGTAACAACGCGAAAATTGATATGTCTCGTCAGCAGGGTACTTTCGCGTCAAAAGTAGCCAACCAATGGACAAAGCAAAGGGACCGAAATCAGTTACCGTACAATCTATCTTGTTATCGATATTTGTGGTTTTTAGATGGTCTTGCCACATGGTTCCAACTTGTAATTAACCAATATAGAACGTACATCTACTCGTTGATAGTAGTTTGTCTGCCATTTTTATAAAATTAGCTCGATTGGAGATGTCTGATAGAAGTAAGTATGACGACCGCCAATGATTTGAATATTGTACAAAATACACGCAGGTTACCAGAGCCTTTTCATATGGTATTTGATACATTAGAGTTTGACAATGAATTAAACTACATAAAAAACACTTACTATATACGGAGATAACGATGTCAGTCTTTAGGTGCACATTCCCAGTGGATCACATACTTAGAGAAGCAAAACAAAATAAAAAAACCCAACAAGATGAAAAACAATCCTATGATTCAACCACAGTTGTGACTGACTTTTTATAAAAAAAATTCTCCTGAGGTCGAAACCATCGACGAGCTCATCAAAACATGTCACAAATTTAAAGACCTTGCGATGTCCTTTATTTTCAGTGCGTGAACTTTCATTTCCAACTGAGTTTCCGTAATATGCTGTTTAAATTATTTCAAAACACAAACGTTATGAAATGGTTAGAGTATCAGTAAAATCGTCAGAGGGAAATTAGACGTTACAGGACACTTGTCATATGCTAGCGTCATTCTGACGCATCTGATAAGAGCTAAAATTGTTGTTTTTCTCTCGTTTGGAAATGCGTATTTCGTCTGGGGCTATCTCACCAACAGAAAGGAGCTGAGAATCATGATGGGATGGAGCTGGAATAAGGTAACCAACGGAGACCCACAAGGTTACATACACCACTGGGTCAGGTTTATTTAATATCATTCATAAAGATCAGGGAATCCTCAGAAGTGTCAAAAATTGTTCAATTGTATGACTGGGTTTGGGTTGAATGCCATAAAGGGCAACCCTGAGAATTTTCAAGAAATCTTTATCGAGGAAAGAAAATGGTGGCGGCACTATTCCAGTTGTTGATTCTAAAACAGAACAAACGTATGGCTTCTATACTAAAAAGTCGTTGTTTTCACGCTTCGGTAAGGTGGCCATCCTGTATTAAAAATACAGAATCATCAACCTTTTTGTGAAATACTGTTTAATTTGTCAGCGTAACACTGATATGTGGAAATTAGTTCAAGTTATGCCGAGATGACAGAGGTTTCCCTTCCAACTACAGACCAATTTTATTTGAGAAAGTGATTCATGGCTTCCGTCACAAATAGAACCCGTCTTTGGGGAGGTCACTCGTGCAGCCTTATATAATATCGGCAACCTACCATCAGGGGAGAATACTCGCACAGACTTGTGTAATACCAGTTTCGTGGCTGTTGGTTGCCTACTTTTGACAGGAGCTTTTTCTTTTTATGACGAGTAACAGAAATAAAAACTGGACGCTTTTTTTTTGTTTTTGTTTTTGTAGTTTTCTAACAATATATACGTGTGATATAATGGTCAGTTATATGGACAGCGATTCCAAGGCCAAATTATTCTGATGTTCTATCAACTGTTTTTTGTCCGAACGACAAAAAATGAGAGAGAAAAAGTTGGGAGAACTTATTCGGACAAACATGTCGCTATTGAAAGTGTATACAAATATCTCCATAAATTCAATTGATATAGTTTTTCGTCTATATATTTATTTATAATTCTTTATCTGATATGTGATTGCGAGTTTTCAGTGGCAAACAGCTGTAAGTGAAATATATATATGTAATATTGTTGTTTTTTCACATATCTTTTTAAAACTATATCATTGAATTATTCATCAACATGAAACACTTGTATGTAGATAATATTTGAGACTGGATAACAAGTCTTATCGTGTTTATTTCACGGCTCTATTACAATACGTATTGTTCACGACACTATATTGTGACGTCATGTCTTGTGACGTCATAATATGATGTTGTCATGATACATGTAATGCAATAATGTAGCTCGGAAAGTTTGCGATCTTGATAACAGTCGGTTTAGCTGAGGAGCCGGTTTAGCTGAGGAGCCGGTTTCATTGAGAGGCTAACAAGATATTCAACGATGGCGTACAAGTATGTTCTCTTGTTAAAAATAACGTGATGCATGTCATAAATCGGCCATGCCATTCATAACCGAAATCGTCATTTACCTGATTTCAATTATAAAACTAAATGTAGTTATATTAATAGGCTTACATGTAAGTAAGTTACAATGTAGTTAAGTTTATAGGTTTAGTAAAAAACAATCAGAATAATGAAAAGTGGGCATGGGTTTAAATACACGAAACTTTTTGTCAGGAAAACTAGCGATTCTCCTGATTTTTGATTGTATATTCTTTTTACAGAAGCAAAGATAAAATCAAAGTACATATGTATATGTATATCCTATACAGTGTACATGTATATCGGTGGCCAGACCTCTTCATTTTGTTTGCTTATTTCAGCAGGATTTTAGAGGATTAAACCAGTAGAGGTTTTTCAAGTGCTATTGTTTGTGCATCATCAATAATTCATGAACAGAAAGATAACTAGAGAGTCCAAAAGTGGAATGATCTTAAGAAAAAACAGATTTTTAACAGACAACTTCAACAGATAAAGTATTTATGTTCTACAAGTGTATAGAAAGTTATTACAAGTGGTCAGCCTATATATATGATTTACTTGCTAACTGAGACCAAATCCCTAGCTGCCCTAGTGACCCCGGGAAATCTTTTATCCCGTTAATCAATCAGAGGTCACTATATATATATTAGTGTATTTGTTTGTACAGGAACGAGGCGGAAGGCACACTGTTGGCCCCCAGTAGGCAGGACAGGAAGCCTAGCTATCAGAGGCGACGACGACAGAGTCAAGCTGTTATAGAGAACCCTTGGGGACTTACGATAGAGAGACCTGTATGGGGAGATAAACCACTGATCACACCACACGAGGAGTTATTATTGCTGAGGACCGTGTTTACACCTCCAATAACCTACGCCATGCCGCCTGGAAAGTTTGATACCACCACCACCCACGGGATCAAGAAGAAAATCAGGCCGAGCTCGGCAGCAGCTAAACTTCAGAGTCATCCATCCTTTTATACCAACGTATTTGATAGCTCTCGCCCGGCTACAGCGACAACAAATGCCCGATCCCCCGAAGCTGGACAGCGTCCCGTCACTCATGCAGCTGGGGGTCGGAGGCAGTATCGAGCACCCCCGGAGGATGAACGATTGAAAGAGATCGCTAAACAGCCTCGTAGACTGACTCTAGGGGCTGTAAATGGCATCAGTGAGCTCGAACATATCCCACGCCCCACCATGGGGCACGGGGCAATTTCGTCACAGCTGAAAAGCAAGGTAAGTCCAAACTATTAGAAGTTAACTTCGTTTGTTATGGGATAGTGCTACCCCGTGTACAGTAGCACGTGTAAACAAACAGGCATTATGGAGCGTGATTACGAGCTTCAGATTAACCGTCGCGTGATTTTATATGTTTATCTACTATTTTATTGCTCTATGTTGGTGTTTGAATCGACACTTATCTGTGTGGATGTGTTCAAACAAAATCAATACTGTCGTGTTTATGATTGAATGCTCCTGGCGGACTAATTTGTTATTCAAAATGGCGATTTGTTGTAGCAACTTGACTACTTCCGGTGACAAAAGGGGGCGTGTCCTGTTGATGTACATTACCGAGGTCGATTTTATCTTCATTCATAATGCAGACAATATGAGACCAATCGCAAACATTGTTCCAAAAATGATCACTATTACTAAAACAATTCAGACATATCACTGAGCTTCTTTTTCACAATTTGTAGAAAGATTCAGTTCATGTGTACTTTATGCATTTAAAAATGAATATAGAAGACCTATAAATATTTAATTTCTATCGAATGACCCACTGCAGTCTTATATATATGTATATATTTATCATCCATTCATAAACTGAAACGTTAGGGAAGCATTAGAAATATTTAGTTACTATAATTAATTCAAACTTGTTTGAGTTACATAAATCCAACTGTCAGAACTACTTGGTAGTAAAACTTATAAAAGTAATTAATTTTAAAAACAAAGACTCAAAATTAATAACACATTTTATTTAAACTGCTTGTGTATATCAATCCTGTATGGATAAAGATTTTAAATACGAAATTTTGTCACAATGGTTCTTTATATTACCTAACCCATCTTTAGCAATAGATGTACTAGAATAATCAAATACAAATGCTTAATACATTGTTAATTGTGCATCTTTTTGGAATGAAATGGTCTGTTGGTTGGAATGACTGGAGCAAATACAAATATAGATATATATATTTTGAACATGAAATATCAAATAATGATTTTTTATTGACCAAGTTCTATCAAGAATTCTTACCTTTAAATATTTTAGATCCATAAAAGTTGACTACTTAAAGCTCCTGCGAATGGTGTTCAGGGACATGAATGCAATTAGACAAATGGCTTTCAATATTTTCTCCACTGTTAATCACTCAATCTGTTTTCTTCCTTGTGAAGAATGTTGGATCTTGATAAGACACTTATCAAGCCAAGCTGCTGGTGAGGTTAGAGGTCGAAAGCATCCAAGAAGAAGATGAATATTTCAGCATGGCTACAGTTGAGACACCTAAGCTACCCTTCTTCTCTTACCTGTGGGAGAGCATATTACCTTCAATGACTCCCTAAGGAAACACCACTACTGCATCCTCTTAATTAAATTTGGCTATCCTACTCCAAGCCTTTTGATTAAGTGGCTGCTGTTTCTTTGCAAAATTGATGAATTCCGAAATGTCTGGTTCTGTGGCTGGATGAAGTACCTGTAGAAAGGAGGTTAATTATTGAGTCTGTGGTAGAGGTGTGAAACCGATAGGTAACCCATAGTTTCATTAACTTTTAAATATTGATGAAGTTTTCTTAGTCTTGTTGGTATGAGGAAATACTCCCACTAGCATCATTCTGTCTAGTTAAGTCCTTAGAAATGAACCAATTTGTCTGATGTAGCGATAAAGTTTGAAAAGGGATTTCTTATGTGGTTTTAATGATATAATATTGGGATTTCAGTGAATTCAAGCCTTCTTCAGATATTATATAGCTTGTCAGTCATCATGAATCTAAGTGTAACATTTAAGGAGCTTGTTAAACCCATGGTGTTTCCACAGAGGAAGGATAGTACTGTGGTTGAGGTGGAGGAAAAAAGGGAGGAAATCGCACCGGTAAGGTGGCAAAGGCATTCACAAAGCTAATATCCCATTGACCTTTTAATTGTTGTACATACACTTTAATTTTAATGGTTTATGTGTATGTGCTGGCCAAGTTTAATGGTTTATGTGTATGTGCTGGCCAAGTTTAATGGTTTATGTGTATGTGCTGGCCAAGTTTAATGGTTTATGTGTATGTGCTGGCCAAGTTTAATGGTTTATGTTTGTAGTTTCATGTTGTATATATCATATTTTATAGGTTGACCACAGATTTCATTGAAATATAAACTTGAACTTTATGTAATCCAGAATAGTTATGCAAGTTAAAACTTTTAATAGTTTTACATTTGCATATTTGAACATGTATTTGTAAAGTTATACATTTATGAGATGCTCAAAAGTTAAATGGGATTTCACCAAAAAAGTGGGATATGTCAGTGTTCTTATAGTTTAGCATATTTATAAGTGGTTTGAAGTTTTAATGGTTTTTACTTTTAATGATTAGATATGGGCCAAAGTTTTAATGGTGTTGCATGTTTGAGTTAGAATTTTGATGTATTTCAATAAGTTTCAAATTTGTGCCAAAGTTTTAACAATACATCTAATGTTAGAAACAATATGTAATCCAACCTCAAAAAGATGAATATCGTTAGAGCTAATGGGGGGAGATTGTGCTTATTCCAAAGGCAATAGTGTTATTTGTTTTATATTAGAATAAACTTTTTTTGTTTATTTTGGAGATTTCAAACAGAAAATAGCACGCCGTGAAAGTTTCTTAGATAAGACTGTTGACTTGGTCTGGGACAATATAAGCAACCATTTAGATCTTGGATTAGGAAGTATTTAAATGGAAAAGTGATCAATTTGTTTCTGAGATTTACCTGAAATGACATATCAGTATGGATTTATTTTTCATGTTTTTGTTGTCTGACAAAATTATAACTTTATCTTTTTCCCTTGTCATGTTAGCTTGAAAATAGATAATTTTTGTCGTGTTAGATTATATCAGACTTGGGACAGAAGCTGTTTTGTAGTAAAATTGAGTACAAGTGTACAGTGTATCAGTATATTGTCTAAATATCAGCAGCTTTGTGTAAAATTTTGACAAAAATGTGTGGTGCATGACACAAATCAATTAAGAATGATTCATTGATGTTTTGTTAAAAAATGCTCACTATCGTGTATTTACATATTTGAGTTTAGATACCCTTTATGACCCTCTAGATATCACAACAGGTTAAGGGCTAGTATTGATATTTAGAAGTCATTGCCTGAACACCGTTTTACCATTACAGAATGCAGGTTGAAATAAAAGAGCAATTGTATCTGATCAAGGAATTATTTAAAAAAAAAAAACCAAGGAATTTTTGTACAGCTTAATATCTTTACCATTTTCTGGGATATCGTCACCCCCCCCCCCCCCCCCCCCCCCCCCCCCCCACCCCGTCATAAGGTGGTATTGGTAAATGTTCTATGTACTTTTCAGAGTTTCATGCCAACAGATTACGTACAAATTGTGGTATTTCTTTTGGCTTTGACAGATTTCCTGATAGAGGCTCCTTGGATGATATGCCAAATTTGTTGTAATGAATGACCTTTATCCATTTCCAAGGTCACAAGTGTCCAGTGTCATGCTGACGTGTTCAAATGAATAACATTGACTCACTGTCAAAGTTAAAGGAATCAAATGTATTAAAATCTTCAAATAACTCCTTATCAATTCAATAATCAAAGAGTTCAGGTATAACTGATATTGGCTTTGTAGCATGCTGGGATAAGAGGCGACCATGTTCATTGATTTTAATGATCCTCACCCACTTTCAACATCTTAATCTTTGAACAATATTTTCTTCATCACTAAAAGGCCAAGGGTCACGAAAATAAGGTAGAATGCTTAGATGAATTGGAACAAAGTTGATTCAAATGAATGACCATGTTGTTCACCAAGTGAAAACGGTCAAACATTATAAAAACTTCAAACTTCTTGCCAATAACCATTAGGCTTTTGGTCAGAGTGTTTATGTAGTAGCATGCTTGGGGAATGAGATTTCAAGTTTCTCGGGAATTTACTTAACAAACTGACAAATTTTTCTTGATAAACTGCAGAACAAGTGAGGGAAATTTCAGGCCCTTTGGTCCTCTTATTGTCAGTGTCTTTATACTGTGTTTTGCGACATAGATTTTTGTTTTACCTGTGCTGTCAGGTATGTCAGCTCTGTACCTGATTGTACCTGGAGTTACCAGGAGGTCACCTAAGCCACGCAAAGAAGTTTTGTCAAATCATGATGTCCTTGTATGGCAAAGTTGAGTTTATGTGGAAATAAAAGGATTTCTAAAACGCATAGTTACTTTTTCGCTCTATACGTATTCAAGTACCAAGTAATTAAATGCAAATGGTCGTAATATATTTTATATTTTGTTTGTCAATTTTTTAAATTTATCTGATTTTTTAAAATTTATCTGATTTAGAAAAATGCAATTAGGAAAAATACAATTAATTATCAAACTGTCAAGGAATCATGGGAAATTAAAATTGTCAAGCACTCCGGTCAAAGTACAGATATATTTAGAATGTGTCTCCATTTTTCAGGGTAAAGAGGTATTCAGTAAAGACTCCTTTTAAATATTCTATATGTTTATAAGTTACTTGAACATGAACATGTGATTAACAGGTAATCAAATGTGTGTTTTTTTTTAAACTTCTAATCAAAAATTCTTTTGATTTAGTGAAAATCAATTCTGAAATACGAACAACCTGTCATAATCTCAGTGATGGAGTGTAAATTTCTGTCAGTGTTGTGTGTTAATCAACATCCCTATTGATACTGACTTCAATAAAAGCCAGGGAAACATGATGGATTTTCTGTTTTCCAATAGAATTGGCCTTTAGTACAGCAACGGACGGATATCAGTATGGATGGCTACATCCATCCTTACATATAAACATTTTTGTGGAGACAATATATTTATTTGTATGTAAAGTATGGTGGGGCCCAGCTACCACAGGTATAGATTTAGGAAGGTCTTGTTGAGGAAAAACTTACATTAGGATTTAAAATAAGATTAAATAGAAGTAATCTTTTAAGATTTGGTGATCTATCCCGAAGAAGGAATCTATTGATCACCTGTGTCACTTACCTGGATTTTTTTACC